TTAATTCGTATAATAGCATCTTTAAAAAGTACACTGATCAGTTTGTTCAAATCCAAATGTATCCACTGGTTTAGAAATTAAATATGAAAAAGAATTCTATTTTACCAGCATCTTTAGTTTATTTGGATCTTCCCTGACCATTAATTTTCAGGGACTTTTCACCATTATTGACTCAGAAGAAATAAAATTCTCATATGTCCACATGATCCACCAACCAGTAGAACCAGAAAACCTAGAAGTCTTGGTAATTCTTGAAATTACAGTAGCAAATTAACAATGGTTAATTTAAGGGAAGAAAAAACAGAGCAATCAAATGGGTGAAGACAAACTGATATTTTAAAAAGATTGAGAGAGAAGAATTAAGCAAAAATGGAAAAACTGTTCTCTCAGTTCTGAAATACTTAGAGAAGTTTCTGAAGTAGCTAATCAAACTTTTAAACTAACTGCAGTTAGTATTTATAATTAAAATCAAGCTATGAAAGTCTTAAACAGGAGACTCTTAGGTAGTTAAAAAGCACATGGGAATAATGGAAGTGTGGAAAAAAGTATTGAAATTATGAGGACAGACTATAGAGGCCTTCTTTAAAAACTTAAATTATTAAAATCTACACAGGTATAAGTCTCTAGAGTTGAAATACTATAGCGTTGCTGTGGGTAGTTATAGCACATTCAGGCTATTGCTCTAAAGGCTAAGCACATCCTAATATACTGGAAGTCATGCCAGAGGCCATTATTATAGGTAACTCGTTAGTAAGTCCTTAACAAGTCAACTAACCATCCCCCAACTTAGTTTTGAAATAATATAAAGCTGACTAAAATAAGAGTTATAATATTGGAATACCTAACATGCTGTGGGAAGCTAGAGAAAATTGCGATTCATTCCTAATTTTAGTGGAGGGCAGAATTATTATAGCAACATGGCCTTTATGTGGGCCTTCAAGAATGGGCAAATCTTGGAAATTATTATGTCTGGTTTATATGATACACATTCAGAGAACAATTATAAAATGTTCATCAGTAAAAAGAAGACCTGTTGTCCCATAAAAAACAACTCGTAATCCCATCACTTGGGAAAAATACCATTGTTAACATCAATTTTTTTTTTATATGCAGAGACATATACATTTATAATATTTATAATCAATGTGCAGTTTTCTTACAACTTCCTCCCAATATGTGGTATGTTGACATCTTTCTGGAATTTATTTTTAGATGATAATGTCTTTATACGTGTATATTTTATTAAGCAATTATCATTTTGTGGAATTTTTTATTTCTAGCTATTTGTTATGACAGACATTTAAAAAGTGCTAAAACATCTTTCAACAACATGTATCTTTGAGTACTCATGAGATGATTCCCTCAGGAGAATTCCTAGAAGTGGGCTTGCTAAGGGTTGACATATACTGATGTCCTCTTTCCTCTATAATCTGTTAACGTGCTGTTTTAGTATATAACTTGTGATTCCATGTCTCTGTTCAGTATTACATCTTTGCCCACCTTTCAAGCCAAATAACCCAAGATTTGTTTATATTCACTATCTCCAATTCTTCTCCCTTCCTCTCTTATAACCTTTACAGTAAGGTTTTTCCCAACCACTCCACCAAAACTGCTCTTGTCAAAATAATCAATGACAGACACCTTTTCCCCACATTTTGCTAAATCCTGTTGTAAATATCATTTATCATCTTATTTGACCATACAGTAGCTTTTGAGATAGAGATAATTCCCTTCTTTTAGAAACATTTCTTCCCTTCAATTCCCAGATACCACACACTCTTGGTTTCTTGTCTACCTTACTGGCCACTCATTCTGTCTCCCCCATCCTATAGGCACTCATTCCCTTGGTAATCTCATTAAGTCTCATAGTTATTTTAAATTTTTTATTTCTATTTTCCCATTACAGTTGACATTCAGTATTATTTTATATTAGCTTCAGGTAGATATCATAGTGGTTAGCCATTTATATAATTTACAATGTGACACCCGCCTCCCCAGTAAATCTAGTACCCACCTGGAACCACATTTGTTGAGAAATTATTGACTATATTCCCCATGCTGTACTTTATATATCCCTGTGACTATTTTGTAACTGCCAATTTGTACTTTCTTAATCCCTTCACCTTTTCACCCAGTCCCCTAACCACCCTCCCATCTGGCAACCCACAGGCCGTTCTCTGCACCTATGAGTCCATTTCTGTTTTGTTTGTACATTTATTTTGTTCTCTAGATTCCACATATAAGCGAAATCATGTGGTATTTGTCTTATTCTGTCTGATTTATTTCACTTAACATAACACCATTTAGGTCCATCCATGTTGTTGCAAATTAAGTCTCATAGCTTTAAATACCATCTCCCTGCCAATGAACTCCAACTATTCTCTATGGCCTAGTCCTCACTCGTAGATGCCAAATTCAAATATCCAAATTCATTGCAAACTTACCAGGTCTGAAATTCAACTCCCAATCTTTAAAAACTAAGACAACATGCCTTCTCGTTTTTTCCACTCTCTGCAAATGACAGCAGTCACCTTCCAGTTTCCCAAGTCTAAAACAGAATCCTTGATCTTTTTTTTCATCTTACACCATGTTCAGATCAAGAAATCCTGGCTCTGCCCCTAATATATATATCTAGAATTGAGAATCTCACCACCTCTACTGCTACTACCCTGGGACCATTATTTCTCCCCTGAATTATTAAAAGCCCCCAACTGATCTCCCTGCATTTGCCCTTAACCCCTATTTCTATTTCACACAGAGGCCTGAGTGATCCTTTTAAAGTGAAGTCAAATCTCATCACTCTCTGCTCAAAAACTCCATGTGGCTCTTCCTTTTTACTTAGTGTAAAAGCCAAATTTCTGACAATGTTCTATCAACCGTGCACTCTGTGCTGCCCTCCCACCGCCACATATCCTCTCTGACCTTATCTTCTCCTTTCTTCCTGGCTCGCTGCTCCAGCCACCCTGACCACTGGCATTGTAAGAACTTACCAGGTATGTGCGTGCCTCAGGGCCTTTGTACTGGCTGTTCCCTTGGTCTATAATGCTCTTCCCTCCTCTCTTCTTTGCTCAGTCCCCTTAAATGATAGCTTTTTGCTATCACTTTCCCTACAAAGAGATGCTGACTTCCTCCTTTAAAATGCTCTCCTTCCTTCAGCATTTATTTTGCTCCTTCACTGCTTTTTCTCTATAGCATTTGTCACCTTCTGATATATATTTCTTATTTGCATAACTTGTTTCTCTTGGTCCCCAAAAACATATCCATGGAAGCAAGAATTTTTCTCTTACTCATTCAGTGCTGGAGGAGAGTCAACATTGCAGATGCATATGTAATGCTTTTGATCCAGACTTCCAATTTGAAGGTGTTTAAGTAAGTAGATAAGGTGGGGAAGGATGGTCCATGTTGAGGTCATAATATTGGCAAAACCAGTGACATGTAAAAAAGAAAATACTAGACTGGCCAGGTGCTTCTAGTGTTATCAGTGTGAGGATATGGACTTGACTTAAAATAGAAACACATCAATGGTACAGGGCAACATTTTAACTGAAAGCACGAAATCAACTTACTCCTCAATCTATAATAATAAAAGTGTAATATGCTAATTAGGCCAGACAGCCGAATGACCTTCTGGATGTCCTTCAGGACAATCTTCCGGACAAAGGTGGGGCTGCAAGGGCTGAGGCAAGCTGCCGCCTCTACAAGGGCTGAGCCCCTTGCACGAATTTTGTGCATTGGGCCTCTAGTAAGAAATAAAAGGATGACACATTTATAATACCTTAACTAATAATAAAAAGAAAAAGAAAAGAAATAAAAGGATGAAATGACAAAGGAGTTCTACAATAGGATTCTGATTGAGGCACTGAAAAATTCAATGCAAACTTTTATCATGAATAAGAAGTTTGGCAAAGTACCAAATTGTAGCAGGGAGAGCATCTATTTTTGAAAAGGCGGTGGACACTATGGATCCTTCCAAGAATATTAGATGTATCTGCAAAGTTCAGAGTTCACCACCCCAAAACCTATCCATAAACCAACTGGGGCCAGTGATTGAGACTCTTAAGGAAAAAAAAAAAAAAAAGGCCCAATTAAGAAATATTATTTCAGCGTCATGGCAATCACTTGGATGGAATGATGCTTAAATAAGGATGTGGGTAGTTTCAACACTGAGGTGCAACAGTTTGGGTAAAAATGTGAAGCTTAACCTTACTTACCTAAAGGAAAGAGAATCCAACCACGTCTTAAATGTTTTTGCAAATATGTAGAAGTAAACATCCCAAAGTTACTTCTGTGAACCTTTACATTGAATGTTTCTTATTTTACGTTTACAAATAATGTTATATTTTACAAGATAGTCAGACTGTTCTGGTATCGGTAATTTGATCTTTTTTTTTTTTTTAAATTGAAACCAGTAAACATTCCAGCCAGTCTCAGCTATTGTCTGTCTGGCTTCTGTACAACATTATCATTAGCATCTTTCATCTAAATAATTCACTAAAATGTTATTAATGAGTCTTATTTCTCTACCAAATACCCCTTCTCTCTGTACCATATTATCCAGGAATAATTAAAGGAAATTCAGTTTGGGTAGTTTTTCTGGCTCAGCTCTGTTTCTGGAGAAGGATGCGGGAAGGGAGAGGAAGGGAGAGGGTCTTATGTCTAAAAATAATCAGTTCTTTATTCTCTAAGACCATTCGTTGCACTATGGTGCTAACGCAGAGAACTCCTCAGCCTGAAACCTGTTTTGCATCTGATATTTGATGCCAGCCCTTACAGTGATAAAGGCCACGAAGCAAATCCAGAGGCACTGAATTTACATACAATCAGCCCTGAGAGGTCTCTCTGGTTGGTTTCTTTTCCCTGTTGTCACTCATTAGAGAACGAGTTTACCCACAGCCATCAGCCCAGCACATCCAAGCTGGACCGGGGCCAAGAACGAGCAGCACTGTTGAAATCTGGGCAGCGAGGTGGAAGGCCGAGCGGGGCACCGGTTGGATGAAAACATGCGAGGCCTGCTGGGCAGCAGCTGGAGGAAGTTTGGGCATGCTGGCAGGGGCACCTACGAGTGGCTGACGAGCGAACCAAGCCTACCTCTTCAGGAAACCCAGCTGCAGGTCTGTACCTATGACTTCTGCCTTTTCTTCCCCAAGTACATCAGGTTTAAACCAACAATGCCTGTATGTTTAGGATCTTAAAACTTAGTGGCAACATGTTACATGGTGGGCATGACAAAAATCCGATTTCACTGATTGGTGTGGTCTAAGGAAGTAACTTGAAATTGTATTTCTTTTGACACACATATTCTAAGAATACCTGATATATCAAGTATGTCAAAGAATACCTGAAGTTAGGAGCCAACAAAATGTTATGCCTTGGTTTTACAGTTTTGTTCTTTGCTCAGTAAGCAATGTCTACACATACAAAACTAAGAAACTTCCTTTGGCTCTCCGGCTGAGTAATGACCACTGTTTCTAAGAGAAGCCAAGATCTTAGTTCCAAAAGGGTAGCAAAGGGTTAAGGAGGTTCTGTCTCAACTAAGACAGCTGCTCTGTTCTGTCTGGGAAATCACCAAAGAAGCTTCAAGCTGAGAAGCATTAAGGTAAAATATTGGTAGAAACCTAAGACTCAGAATTAATTTTATCATCAGTAGGGAAATGAGTAGGACCGCTATCCCTTAAGAAAAAGGGAAACAGACCTTTTTTCTTGTTTTCTGGAAAATCAGCTGATCCGATTGGTATGTAAGTTCTGCAAAACCACCTTTTACAGAAAAACACTTATACATGTATATATAATATTTTTTTCGGCAGTTACACTTTTAACTGGATATTCCTTTAAAACATTCCCTGAACAACAATGTCTTTACGTCAGTATACACATCAGAGATATATTAAAAGTTAAGAAACCACTTTGAAGGAAGTGAACAAATCAGGACATCTAATTAAAGAAGTAAAGATGTCCATTCTGCACTTTGAAAAAGCAGAACAATTTGAACCTATCATGAATCAGTAAATAAGCAAATTAAGGGTGCCATAAATGTGTCCTGCAGCTCTATGCATCTCCTATCTGGAAAACAGGAACTCTTTATCTCAAGAAATTGTCGTAATCTGCTGCATCAGATAAGCACTGCCCCTCAGTATTTGGACAATTTAACTCTGCCCGTGGAAGTTCTGATTACAGGAGTAGACTGTGGTATTTCTCCTTTCACAAATTTTTGCAGCTAGTATTGATAATACCAAAAGTGGCATAATGGTGAATAACAGGGTTTATTACATAAAACCTGTTAAATAGAATTTGAAGTATCTTTATGTCTTATGCATATTGAACTTCCAGTCTGTAATAGAGTATTTAAATGTTGATGCCCACAACTGTTGAGAAACTATGATTATCCATAAAAGGGATGGGGAATTAAAAAAAAATCATGCAAAATGGCCCATGTTTATCAAGATTGAAGAGTGATTTTTTTTTAGTACTAAGAGATAATAGCTTTAAATTTTTTAATGGTTCATTTAGAGAGAGAAAACATAGTTAAGTTGCTTTTTGATTTCTTAAAAGTTGTGGTAAATTATTTATGAGTCCGTCTACTCTTACAGCTTTTGTAATCAAAGTCTCTCATTACATCACAACAGATTTTAAGTGAATAGTTCTGATAATAAACTAGATTATGTGTAAGAAAACAGAAAGAATCCATAGTTTAGAAAGATTAAGAATCACACACATAAAAATATATTTTCTCTGAAAATATTTATGTATTAAAATACAAACTTAGGAATGTCAAATTTTTCCCTCACTAAATTTTCAGCCTAGCAATAGATACAAATACATAATAAACACCTAATACCAAGTGCTTTACATATAGTGATTCACTAAATTCTCACGCCAACCCATTTAAAAATGTTATTTTCATTTCCTAGAGAAGAAGACCTAGGCCCAGAGGGCACCAGCGAGTGACCCGTGGTCACACAGGTACTAGAAAGTGTTCTGAAATCCAAAGCCAGAGTGCTCAAACCCATACACTATGCTTCCCAACAAAACCTTTTATTTTTGTGCACTTTTAGCTAAAATATCTTACCAAAGACAAACATCTGGCAGCACAAATATTAAATCACCCAATTTTCAGTCAACACACATACTTGTAAATTCTTTAAGAAGTAAAAATAATTATATAGTCAATGCTAGATAAGCCAGTCCCTTAGAAGGTCATGATCAGAAAAACAATTGTTCTTTCCACCAAAATCAAGAGAACCCAGCTCAGTTTTATTATGTTTTATTTTAAACAAGTCGATAAGGAGCTTAGTATTTTGTTGTCTTAAACACAATTATAAGGCTTTAATTTTTTTTTTATCTCCCTCTTAGAAGTGGGTACAAATATTTACATTTGCTGCTGTATGCTTTATATAATAAAGAAGCTTTTTAATATTTCGTTATTTCCTAGTAGCTTCATGTAAAGTAACATCTAGGCAGTTTGCAACAGTATTTATTTTTGTGTTATTTTCCTACCTTGCTATTCAAGTATCACTTCATGCCTGTTATAGTATTTACTCCAGCAGGACTCATAATTATCTTCTGAGCTAATACTAAAAATCAAGAATTTATGTGCAATTCTTTTCCTTAAGAGTTCAAACTTTTCCATTTTTATCCTACAAATATTTCAAGAAAAGAAGAAAAATTTAAATCTATCATTATAAGAATCAGCTATCAAATCAGATTAGAAATGTTATTTACCTGTGATATAAATACATGTCAGATTTTGCTCCACAGTTAAAGAAATGAAGTTCCATAGGATTCGTTTGTGGCAATAAAACGTTTATTGGTCTAATGCTAAAGAAAATACATAAATAGAGCTATTCAAAGAATGCGTGGTGGGCCTACCTTCTAAAATGTATTCTAATATGTATCCTTTAGGGGAACTACTGTAGGGTGTCATCCATGTGAATTTTGGACATGTTAAATCCGTACTTTATCTTGTCACTTCGCTTTATTCCATGGAGGCTCAAGTTCATTGGCATAAGTGAACGAAAGAAAGAGTGATTTCTAGAGTGAGCGAGTCATGATGAGAAGAATGAGAGATGAAAGGCAGGCAGGGCTTGTCTGTCGCCATCTCCTAACTCGGTCGCATTCTCACTCCAGGGCACCCAGCAGATCAGCTCCGCCAAAGACGACGTGGAGCCCTTCCTGTGCATCCTGCTCCCCGCCACCATCGTGCTGTTCCTGGCCTTCCTGCTGCTCTTCCTGTACCGCCTCTGCAGGGCGCCCCGGGCCCAGGGCCAGGTCTTCAGCATCGACCTGGCGGAGCACCCGCCCGCGGGCGAGGACACGGACTTCCTGCCGGGCCTGCCCTGGAGCGGGGAGCAGGACTTCCCCTACTCGCCCCTGCCCGCGGAGGCGGCCCCCCTGTCCGCGTGTCTGCCCCCCTCCTACGAGGAGGCCACCAGGAGCCCGCCTGGGGAGGAGGCCCCCGGCCTGGGCCTGCCGGAGGAACAGGGGCCACCTGGGCTGCATGAGCCCGTCTGAACTGCCCTTGGAAACCATTTAAAACCCAGCTCTCCCCCTGCATGGACCAGGAGGCCGACGCCCGGGTGCCGGGGACAGGAGGCTGGGGGCAGGCTGGACACAGGTCAGTCCAGGTAACCCGTCCTCAAGCTCCTTAAGGAGAAACCTGCCCAGGTTGTGCTAAAGATGCCCGGGCTCTTCTAAAATGTGTGGCGCTCGCGAGGAAAGAGTAAATAAACGGAAAGTCCTATGTGTGCTGAGAAAAAGAATTACAATTACTAGTGAGCGTGAGAGCTAGCTCCGAAGAGACAACAGAAAAATGCTGAGAAGCCAAAGATAACTGCTTTTGCCACAAATAAAAACGTTTCCTCCTACACAGGCCTATCCAGGGCCTCCTGGCCTCCCTTCTGGGCGAGGCCTTCGGGCGGCTAGAGAGCTCCAGGAGGAAAAAACACCTCTGGGGCCTAGGGGTCCACGGTGTTGTGAATAATGGTGAAATGTCTCAATATTAATAATGAAAGTACAGATATTTGCGTACATTTTTGTTCAAAAAATAATAAAGCTCTCCCAAATCATCTCCTCCTTAGTGTGGCTCGTGCTTCCTGGGGTGGGAAGGGTAGGGTTAGCTGCGTGGGCACGTCTCGCCCTGCAACAGCGGGGACGAAGAGCTGCTGCTCTGACACCCTATCTCAGGGGTCACTGTGACCGAGGGAGACGCGCACCAAGCAGCACTCACACAGTAAAATCCGTGTAGCGTTGGAAGGTAAAGGTCAGAATTTGGGTCACCTGAGCAACATGGATTAGCTCTAACCTTATAAATCACATAGTTCAAACTCTTGCTTCACAGGTGTCAAAACTAGAGCTCAGAGAGTCTAAGTGAGCAGTCCGATGTTCAATGTCTCCGAAGAGGCCGAGCCGGCCTCTCTGCCCTGGGCGGCAGCACCTCCCACGGTGCCAGACGTTCTCCCAGAAACCCGCAAATGGGAATTCCAGTCCATGCCCCGGCCGGGGGTCAGGCCTCGCAGTAGGATGAGCACAGCTGAGTTGGGACTAGATAAAAATCCCCCTTTGTGATTTCACGTGGGGAGGTGGAGGTGGGTCACGTGCCACTTGGGAGACTGATCAGAATACCCATGAGGCTGGGGGGTGATATGTCCAGTCCTTAAATTCTTATTCCACAATATAACTTTTTGGGAAAATATTTTTTACTTTTTTTCACAGTCAATGAACAGAAAATGGTGGCTTTTTAAACCGCTTTGGATGTGAACATTTTAATGCTAGATATGCAATGTGGCACAGTTTTAGGAAAATAATCTAAAATAGGATACATTTCTTTATAAATGTAGGAATAACAGTACCTTGGAGGACTGAAGCAAAACGTAACCTATTTGAGTTCAAATGAATGCAAGTTCTTTCAGGAGATCTATATGGAACAATTCCCTTGCGGTCTTTAAGGGAAGTAAGTAAATAAATGGAAATGAGTGGCTCAGCAGACAGCCTGCTTTGGGTTTTATTTTTATTTTTTTAATCCTAAGGCTCTAGTTCTGTGTGAGACTCCGTTGATTCTCTCCCAGCTGTGTTGTCTTCCTTCTCCTTGTTAACAGAACCCTGATTTGGTTCTGGGATCCTGGAGCCACCTATGTAAGTCAGACCAGAGCCCTCCAACATCAGAGGACTTACATCCTGATAGTTAATCATGCAGATCTCGATGCCTTTACCAGGAGAAAGGCTTGTGTTTTGTTTTTTTAAAGGTTGCCTAATGTTAAAAATAGACACATGAAAGGAAACACTTTGCCTCTTTGCTGGATGTTAAGTGTCTGCATGTGATGCCCAGGGCTGCTACAGCCATCTTGCAACCATGAGGGCTAATACTGAACAGTGAAGGGCTAATACTGAACAGTGAAGAAGAAAGATGGAAAACCCCTGGGTTGATTGCATTCAGCAGAGCAGCTGAATTAACCCTGCAACTATCTCTATATTAGTGAAAGCACACCCTTCCTACTGCTTTACACCATTTAAGCCAGGCTTGCTACTTCTAGAAAAAAGCATGTCAACTCCTACAATTTCCAAAGCTATTAAGGAAATGTATTGCCATGTTTTAAAATGTTCTAATAAGACTTATTTAAAATAAGTAGTCAAAGCCAGGACTCATTTGCAATGTTATCTGAGATCGAGGGAAGGAAACATTTTCTCTTATGGAAGCAACTGAAGCTGCGGAACAGGTGAACTAGTAGCCAGGCGTGGCCACACTACAACCCACAGGCCAAATCCCACGTGCAACCTGTTATTGTACAACCTGAGAGACAAGAACGGTTTCCACATTTTTTAAATAACTGAATAAAACATCAAAAGAAGAATATTTCATGACACATGAAAATTAAATGAATTAAAATGTTGGCATCTATGAACAAAGTTATTGGGACACAGCCATGCCCACTTGCCTATGGCTGCTCCATCACAATTGAGGAGTCACAACAGAGACTATATGACTTTCAAAGCCCAAAATATTTACTATCTGGTTCTTTAACGAAAAAGTGTGCTGACCCTTGTACAGACCAGTGGATTTCAACCCTAGATGCCTGGTGGAATAACTTGAGGAACTTTTAGAAATACTGACACCAGGACCCACTTAGACCAATTAAATAGAAACAGATCCAGTGATTCTCATATGAAGGCCAGGCTGAACATCATTACTTTAGGTAACGTGAGGGGCCACAAAATCCAGGTGAGCTTCCATGTACACAAACATACGGTAACAGGATTAGAGAAAACTCGACGTATAAATGTAGCTTTGAGCCATTTTATAACCCGACATTCTCGGTAAACTCTTTCTGAAGCTATCAGCCTAACCTGCAGTCAACTGGGCTCACCAAACAGGACTTCCAAGCAGAATATTAGGAACCGAGTAAACAGTGTACAGTGTATCCTTGTTTAAATGTTGACAGCTGGCAAGCCCGGGTAGTACGGGCTGCTAGCAACCCAAGAAGGGCAGAGTGGAGTTGAGGAAAATCCACAAATGAAAGAACCAGACTGTTCACAGCTAAGAAGTCTTTTGGAAGAAATAACTGTAGCCAGAAAAGATTAAACATGGGAGGGGGTATAATAGAAACAGTGACTAGAATGTGGACATTTTCACGAAATTCTACCTTGGATGAGAAAATATCACTAATGCATAATTTTATAAAAAGAAAAAGGAGTCCATTTCTGGTCTGGCCTGTAAGAAGGTTGGTAGTCAAGGCTCTATCCTAGCAACAAAAAAAAGCTGAACAAACTGGAAATTCAACATTTCTCCTTAGTTCCATCAGAGAACTGAGGTCACAAACCACCTCCCCCAAAGAGACAGACAGACACAGAGAAACGTGACTCACCGGGGCAGGAGTCCACCAGCAGGAGCCTCCTCGGGAACCAGTACCGACGGGGAAGCTTGAACTGTAATTGACGGACTGCGGGGCTTAGAGGACAAACTCAGAAATAACTATCTCAGAAGGCCCCCGGCTTTGTGCCTTCTGCCCCCAGGAGCCCCACAGATTCTCCCAGTGAAGGCCTGAGAAAAATCCCCTGCAGCTTCTAGCCAGGGGCGGGGAAACGGAACCACTTGGAAATCCACCAGAACTTTCTGCTCCTCTTAACAAGGCCTGCCCTCAGGAGACACCATTTAAACAGGGCCTCACCTGCCCTTGTTTTATCAGAGCCTGAGTGTTCCGGGGAAGGGAAATGCCCAGCCCCAGCTAGCCTAATGCAGAGGAAGGAAAATAGCCAGCCCCAGTCCCCTGGCCACCTGGTGCCACTTAAGAGGGTGAAAAACAAAAAGAAAACCCAGAGAAGCCCTGGTGAAGTTCCCTGGCAGCGGCAAAGGCTTCCAAGACTGACACCTAATCACAGGACTATGAACACGCCCCCAACACCCTCCTAACCACCACAATAGTAAAGGCCTGCTTACTGCACTTTCCTTACCCAGCACGTCAAGTCCACCATTTTAAAAGGCAAAAAGAGACGGAGCAAGCATCAGAACCAGACTCAGATATGGCCCGGATGTTGTTGGAAGTGTCAAACCAGAAATGTAAAATAACTATGATTAATAGGCAAAGGGCGCTATTGGAAGAAGTAGACCACATGCAGGAACAACATGCTGTCAGCAAAGAGACGGAAATCCTAAGAGAACCATGAGAAATGCTTGAGATAAAAAACATGGTAACAGAATGAAGACTGTCTTTGATGGGCTTATTAATAAACTGGACACACTTGAGAAAGAATCTCTGAGCTTAGGGATATGTTAATAGAAACTTCCAAAATGGAAAAGTAATGATTAAAAAAAACAAAAACAAAACATACACACACACCACAGAACAGAATATCCAAGAACTGTGTGAGACAACTACTTATAACAAAGGTGTCACATACCTGTAATGGGAATATCAGAAAAAGAAGAAAAAGGGAAAGAACCAGAAGAAATACTGAAGCAATAATAATGGCAAATTTTGCCAAATTAATGTCAAGCCATAGATTGATCCAGGAAGCTCAGAACATTATGCAGAAATAATACAAACAAATGAACAACAAAAACCCTATACCTCCGCATATATTCAAACTGCAGAAAAGCAAAGATAAAGAAAAAAAATCTTGAAAGAAGCCATTGGACCAGGGTAGGGAAGGGGGTGGGGAGGGAGAAACTTATCTATAGAAGAGCAAAGGTAAGAATTACACCTGACTTCTCAGAAACCATGCAAGCAAGTGGAGTGAAATATTTAGTGTTGAGAGGGGGAAAAACCACCTACCTCAATTTTGTATCTTGAAAAATTATTCTTCAAAAATGAAGGAGAAGTAAAAAATTTCTTAGGAAAACAAAAAATGAGGGAATTTGTTGCCAACAGACCTACCTACCTTGCAAGAAATGTTAAGTTTTTCGAACAGAAAGAAAATAATAGAGGTCAGAAACTCTGATAAAGAAAAAGCATTACAGAAAGAATAAGTGACGGTAAAATAAGCATTTATATTATTCTTACTCTTAATTAATCAGATCA